TCTGAGGACGCGAGAACAAAGGCCGAGTCACGCGAGGACGCAAGGTCATGCATACGCGTGAACAGCCACCGGGCTCTCACGCGGAGGACAGCACCATGGCTGCCTGCATGGGTCACTGGCGGAGAGGCAAATAGGGGACAAAGATTGTTAGCGGACAGGAGGCGCACTCTGTTGCTGATAAACGCTACCAACGACCCGATGTTCTGCTGCCGAGCTACCGACGACAGAGGACACGCTGCTGACGACAGAGGACACGTTGCTGACGGGCACGCAGAAGACCACGCTGATGTACAAGCAGAACTAGTGACAGTAAATTACTATCTGCTATCGTGTTCTGCCTTCTCTTACTAACACGCAAGTGGAGGATATAACCAGTATTGACGCAGGAATACATAAGGATATAACAATTGGCGACGCATGTTGTCACTACAGACGAATGGTTATAACAAAAACAGAAGCAGACCGATGAGGAAGAAGGAATAAATGCATCACCCACAGGAGTGGTAAGCCGAGCAAGCCTGCTAGGTTTATGCAACTTTCCCCTACAAAAAACTTACAAATTGCCCTATTTATCCTTGTGCCCCTAGAAAGGCTGCATGTTGAACCCTGCCTTGTAACGATGTCACCGTCTGAGCACGCCCTGTTTGAATCCCTGAGGAAGAGGGTAGCAACAAGGGCGTAAAAGTGGAAACCATCTGAATGAGGGTTTTATTGTGTACAGGACCCGAGATTGCTGTCTCGGGTGGTAGTGGCCGTGGGCAAAGACTGGGCTGATGTGTAGACTGCGTCTCGTCACGCCTGAGGGTGTCTGCCAGTCTCAACGATTCCCTGTGTGTTTGAGATGTGACAGTTGCTTATAAGGGATTGTGAGGCGAGTTCAAGTATTGCATGATTGGCGCGTCGGATTACTCGAGGGCTGTCGAGTATTAAGGTCAGCTGCAGCGCGCGTGTGCGAGTGAATATCCGTCCAGCAGTTCAAGGTCATCGAGCGGGGACAGTCACCAGCGCAGACACATGACCTTGAGGCCGCTCGCATCAAAACAAAGAATCATTGTTGGCTGTCGGTCACAGGAGTCATTCGTCAGGACGGCCTGCATGGTTATGCTGGCAGTCGGTTAGGCTGACCCCCAACACACTCGACATATATAAATTAAATTTTCGAAAATTCCCATTGAAAATTTCAGCAGATCAATTGGCAGGCATACGTTCGCCTTCGATAAATTCTCGTCAGGTCTGTACAAATGGTAAACAGTTCCATTCTAGCGCATCTGGTAGACTCAGACCATCGCGTGAATGCCAGAGAGGCCGTCCGAGTGATCTATAAGGTGCCTTCAAGCCGTTCAAAATTCCTTGGGCGGCGTCTTTTGGCTACGGCAGAAATGGCCGTTATCAGGCTACCCAGGCCGGTCCTGGGCGCCCGAAAGAACTCCGTCGCGGTGCCGCAGTTACCAGGGTCAAAAGCTGCTAATCCAACAGCCAGCAGCTTATCGCCTTTCTTGGCTACCAGTCCTCCCTAACGCTGATCAGATTTTTGACCCCGATTCTCCCCCCCCCCTCCTGACAACCGTACTATATTTCTACCAACCCGCATAGTTTATTGAGTTTATTACGATGCAAATGTACAGACCTGATGAGAATTTATCGAAAACAAACTTGTGCTTGTCAATTTATCTCCTGAACTATCCGAATTACCTCAATAAACATTTGTTCAAGGGGAATTCAGTTTTCTTGATCCAAATATGTGCCAGACATAAGTCTTTCATTGCCAGCAGGTATTTAGAAAGGATAGGCCTTAATGTCTTCATCGAGCTGGAATGTCGCATGGCTCTGGGCGACAGATTGTAACATTTCGACCGACTGATGTGCTTCCTCTTGCATATGATCGAGGAAAAAAACCCAGGGGATCAGAAGCAGAAACGCCACTTTTTGGCGTTTATCTCTTTTCGGTCATCAGGAGATGTCGCCCATTTGTCGAACCCCTCCACTCTCCTATAAGAGCCTCGCCTCACCTCACCGATGGCAAGTGGCAGGGGTTTTTGTGCTTTTTAAACCCACCTTAAACAGTGTCTTCTTGTGATACGTAGAGTCGCACCCCCTATAGTATGTCATATTAAACTCAGAATGTTTTGGAGCCAGCCTACTTGCGGCCTGCCCGTTTCCCATCAAGCCTTCCCCGGATTGCGCTGTGACATCAATCTGGGCCTCAGTGGAATTTCTAGAATTCACGTCCACATCTGAGTACCTTCGATCCTGCGTACACTTTCCGGCCAACCAACAAAATGGCGAGATTGCGCCAGGTGCTATGAAGTGTTACTGAGGGCTAAATTTCTGTCATCTGTAGGAAGTTATCACGAGAAATATTTTAGCGTGTTTTTTCAGCAGAGTTCTGTTCCCACCGACACCTGTGTGCCATCATCTCCCCTTCTACTATGCACGCTCCTGCACGATCGTCCGAAAGAAGGTTTGAAAACCCCGACGACCGTTCTGCAACGTTGAGGCGGGTCGCTCTCTACGTGGCCATACATCATAAATACCCTTCTGTGTACGAGGACGAATACGAATACGCAGGGTTCACACCTATATAGCCTGTTTTCTTCTTAAAATTCAGAACGTTTTGGAGACGGCCTAGTTGCCCTGGATTGCGCTTCGGCATTAATCTGTACATATAAAGACGATTTTGGGTAGCAGTGGATTTTCTATGAGATTTTCCGAAATTCCTTGCACCCTAATACTACAATCGCAGTTTCTAAAGTAATTCATACTTCACTTTGCAGGAAATTTTCCTTTTACTTTTAGTACAGCTTCTACCCTACTTGGCATCGAATGAATGGGATGCTGGAGGGTCTCCAAGTGGATCTTTCTCTAGGCGTCCAACAAGCATCTCTCCAATTCAGCAAAAGTAGTAGGGTTTAAGCAGATAATTTTAAAGACCTTTTAGATGCTGCTGACACATAGACTGTGTTACTTAAATTCCCCTAATTGTTGACCTCCTAAAAACCGATTTCTAGTACATTTTCAAAGACAGTGATTAAAGAAAGCGTAATTTCCTTCAACAGAAACATGAAAAGGTCTGTTTGTGTAGCATTTATTAGGAAATAAAGTAAAATTCCGACACATCGAAGGTCGGAGCATCAAAGGTAAGAAATCATATTGTTTTTAAATGAACTCAATAAACTGAAGGAAAAAAACGCGTCCTAGAAATTCCGGGGGCGTGGAGGACATTAGATAATGAAATAACTTGAAAATATATGCTATGCTAATCAGAAAGATAAACCTCGCCTTAAATCGTCTTTTCCACAGGAAAATTTACTTTGGGATTTTGGTCAAGGTTACTCAAACTGCTGCATAATGCCCGTATATGCGTTACATATAGTCTTGCAACGATTACTTCCACTTCTAATGCAAGAACCGTATCAAACCAGGAATAAAAGCCACAGCGGCTAGTTAAACCAAGTCAGCCACAAAGAATGTATGCGTGTTTGAACGTTGCGATGGCGTGGAGGCATGAGAGAACATGAGCGTTTGGAACAACAACATACTGCGGAATCGCCATTGGAAATCAAAACAAAACTACATGATGACTGATCGAAACGAAAAAAGTATATATTTTACCAAAATGCCATTGTTTTTGAAGACCGGACAGTAAATGTGGAGGAAAATGAGGAAGAGGAGTCAATTTTTGGAACGAACATCGAGATGATCATGCGGTAGGTGGTGGTGGTGGGGGCGGGGGCAAGTAAATTCCTCTTGTCATCATTTCCAGATAGTTTTTTAGCGTGTTTGCCCAGGTGCCCATGCTGCTGCCTACTGGAGCCTTCGACGACCCACGTGTCTCCAGATCCATCGATACCACCAGTAGGTTCGCCAACCAATCACGTTGGCGGATCCGGGGTTGGTTGACGGGGGCAGTCGTCGTCGACATCCTCGTTGTGTTCAAGGTCACAGTATTTTCTGAAGGTGGATGGGTAGTGGTATTAGGAATGGCAGCGAAGGATGTCAACGCGTGGTTTTCCACCGGACTCTGTTCGAACAGTGAGGTAAACACGGAGCGGTACTTCTCGAAGGTACAGTCCGTCCGCGTAAACGCTTCCGGTGAACTGGCGAGAATACCGAACCGGGCTTGTTGCTGCTCAAGCCCCCCTCGAGCGCTGGTTGAGGCCTGAGACACATTGAGACATCTTCTTTTGAATGCTTGAGATGATAGTGGTGGTGGTGGTGGACTTGTCTCCGGCGGGTAGGTCATAGAGACTTCTGACGAGGAGCAGGCGGAAGAGGAGGAGGAGCTCGCTTTCTTGCGATTTCCCCCGTTAAACATGGCTTTCACGTCCTCCCAAGCAAACAGCAGTTCTTCTGGTGGGGTGGGATCTGTCAGCACTAGATGACGTCGCCAGGCGTTGAAATTGGCTGCGTCGGGGTGTCGATAGGCGCTGGCCTGCTGTCTTCCAGTCTCCTCCCGGGTGTGGCAATGGAACACAAATTTGTTCGGCGAAAAATATATCTGTAAACCCAAGATGCATAAAAGGATATTTTTTAAATAAATCCCCTACGAAAACGGAAAATCTCATCTAAGGTTAGGGAAAATCAAGCGGAAGGAATTGTTCGGAATTTGATATTTTAAAAAAATCTTTTGGTCGGACTGCCTTTAGGGGTCTTTTTTTGCCTTTGACTTATAACAGTAACCTACTTCTACATATTCAGCAAGGCGGCTTTCTCTTTTTTCCTTAAATTCCGCCGATATAAGGTTGAATTTCCCTCAATAGGCAGCAGTTGCCTGAGCAGGAGGAGTTTTTATTGATTGATTTGATTCTATTTAGTACATGGAAACAAATATAATTTTCTTTAATTCAATATTTTTTGATCATTTTCACCACAATTAAATATTCATTTATACTCGTTAACCAAGAAGTAAACGTTTGACCACAAACTGCGTTAAACAGTTGGGCGGGGGGAATAAATATTTAGACGGCCCTAAAAGACAGTTCTACCGTTCTCTTTGTCCTTTTCTGATATATTTATCAAAAAATGCAGGAATAAATCTTACCTACCCGTATTTTGTTTTGTCCCACCGAATATTTGGGACCGTAAACATATTTTGCGGCTGAGTTTGACACCGAAAACCATCATGTTAAGTTTTCTTAAAGTTTTTGTGCTAGCTTGCGGGCGATTATTAGGCATTCGTAAATTTGGGCAATTTCCCATGTGAATTCGCTATCAGGAGGCACAAGTATATATCTTTTGATCAACAGGGGTATTTGATAGAAAAAAGTAACCGAACCATCAACAATGCTTATTTTTAATTGATTCAACTGTAAAAATCACAGCTATCGTATCCATTCACGAGGACAAAAGTGTGGTCACTTTCGACAAAATGAAACCCCCCCCCCAAAGTCCACACACCAAATCTACATAACCTAAAAATGGCAACTGCACCCTCTGATGTCGGAAAGATTCATTTCATAAACAGGTTTTGGCCTTCATTTGATGGCTATTGCGATCTTCCTTTTGGGTGTCGACTTCCCTCCTCTTGGGGTAGGTTAAAGATATTTACGAACTACAACTTCATATGAACTTTCTTCTCCGACGATTTTGCGCATCTCAGTCGCGTTCTGTGGGATTCAAGATCCGGACAGTGAGACAAGTCAAGGAAGTGACCTGGCGGTTTACTAGCACAGAAACCTGACCAGGGACGATATCTTCCAGATTCTGATCAATGGCAATCTT